TAGATAATAGCAAAAACATGCACTCCCATCACGCCATGCGGCGCTTCAGTTATGACAGCTGCACAACCATTTTCTGGCTCTGAGGTAGATGCGATTAGGAGTAAAAGACAAGGGAAGAGCAAATCAGATCATTTGCCCTGAGGACAGGTCACAGCGCATTATGTTTACCACCGCGGAGGAGCCCAAGCACAGTTGACAGAAGAGCGCCACACCCCCAGGTGACAGTAAAAGCAGTCTGAGATTTCCACCCACTTCTAAAAGCATTAATACATTCTCATTTTAAAAGTTCACCTCATTCTCAGAAGGAAAACATGCACAAAAAAACAAATTCAAGGTGTCGCGCTAAAGCAAAACAAAGCCAACACTTCCATGGATCACACAGCCACACTGTATGCTATAGAAAGACAAACAAAGTCTGTTCTTAGCATGGTAAAACAACCACCCACAGCCCTGCTCCTGTCTCACACTGAGACCATTAGTCACAATGATTTCTCTGCCAGCTGTCCTGGTGTTTGCTTAAGCTAGCCTCGCAGGCAGGTTGAGCCTCATTTGAATTCTCACTTCAGTTTATTAGGCATGTGCTGAATCATTAGTATCCAGTAAGGCAGATGCACGTGTTCTTCAGGTAATGTTCAAATGCAAATCTGGACGGCCATTAATCATGCGGGCAAACATACCATGAAAATAACATGCTCTGTGAATCATAAAAACCCACAGTCATCCAGCGTTTTTGATTTTTGGATCAACTGGCCCGTTCACCTTGTCAACAGTAGTCGCAGCCAGTGCTCTAATCTCATTTGTGCACATGGATGCTGTAATCTTAGCCTTTATACTCATACCTGGCCCTGTGTGATAAAAGTTGCTCCTTTTATTAGTGAATGAACTTTGCAACTTAGCCATATCTATTGAATTAAATAACAACTCCTTAATGTGCCATGTGTAATTGCCTACCATTTAAAAAGTGCAATGTGCAAGGTACTGAATAAGAGCATATTTTGAGATAAACAGCTGATGTGTGCGCTGAAAATGAGGCTTTTGTGTTTGCTTTTGCGTGGGAGATTGACTGAGCTTTATGCAGATATGAAAATCATGCAGTGCTATTTCACCCTCTTTCAAATGCCACCTATGATTGTTCACAGATAAGCTGGTTCCAGTGTGAGTTATTTGCATGAATGCACTGGCAGGACAAAGGTTTGAAATACACTTCTCCTTCTTTTTGTGGCAGACAAGGACTCACAGATATCACTTCAGCGGGTTAATAAGAGGTGCTTTGAACGCTCATTTATTCTTTGTACTAGCAGAAATAACGGTAGAAGATTCAGGTGACATGAGGAAGTTCAGTCAATCTTCACCACATCCAAATACCATTTAGTCATCATACATCATCCTGCATTGTGCCATTGTCAGTACAGTCATTTCTGGCATCTCCTTTCATCAGCAAACTGCTTGAAGCGCTGCTTGAATAATCAGCCAACTGCACGCAAAGCCCGGTTACGCTGCTGCGTTAACTAGATGAGATCAACCACTGGATTTTTCTATGAGGGACACATTGTAGTTACCATGAAAGTGAGTCAACGGAAATCAGTCATGGCATACTGTCACCACAGTAAGGACACAGCCAGCTAAAAGTGCAGCCAAGCCACATATACTGGGCAAGGAGAATACACTCAACTGACAGCTGCAAGCACTTAGTCGGCTGCCAAGAACAAAGACGGGGAGGAAAAAATACTATTGAGCCCAATGTGGCTATAATGAGCCTACACAACAATTGCTTCCAATATTTTGAGTAAGAAATCAGTCGTGTCTTAAATTGCGTTTGCCAGAGGTCAGCTCTCTGTGTTGATGTGTAACCACAACAACTAGCTTGAAGACAAATGGATTCCTCATTACAACTTGGGCTTGAAATGATTAAGGTGGAGGTCAGGAAATAAAATGGACAGAGACGGACTTAACATCTGCTCGAGTCATCTTTGGAAAAACTCATCAACTGCACATGTAAGAGCAGCTAAAGTGACATATCGGACTGAAAAGCTGAGCAGGAGGCAGCAGATGGGATGAGGTGTTCTGAACCACTAACCACATGCACTTAAGGGTCAGAGCAAGTCTCGTCCAATGTGCTTCTAAACAGCTGAGCAGAGGAGCTTGTGGTGAGCAAGCAGTGCAGAGGAGCCCGCAAAAAAAGAAGCCAGATGAGTCCCTAGAGGCTGGGAGATGGGCTGAATGACAATTGACTGGCTGTCAACACTCATCTGCATTCGCATATCTTTCTGGCTGACACATTTGGCTGGCAGGCTGCCACTGCCTTGACATATGAAGACGTAGTGCACAGATCCTGCTCAGAGCCGAAGTTCTGTTCTCAAGCAAAATTTACTTGTTTCCCACTAATTGACTTTCATTGTCAGGGATTGTTATCCTTGCCACTAAAAGAAGGTAGAACACCTTGTAATGGGTTCTGGTGTAAAGGACAGTGGTGTGATTGAGGTACTTGCTTCGACATGCCCTTCTCATCATCAGCAACCATTCAGTTGTTATGATACAGCTTTGGATGCAACTGAAACCCCCATCATACCTCAAATGCCCAGAACAGCCAAGTATAGAGTGCTACTGGATAGGGTTACACTTTCATCACACCTATTTAAACCCATGCCCACTTTTCACAGCCTGATTCAGGACAGCGTGTTATCCATGTAAGCAGAACGAGGTCATGAACCTGCTGCTCAAGTCAAATTTACCAATAACAAAATAGCTACTTTAAAGCTGATATAATCCGTGTTTTATAGCAGTGGATCAAATAACTGTAATGTGAAATGTCTCACTCAGTGTAAACTTGGTTCACTCTCAATCCTTTCTTAGCATTGTTTTAGTTACAGCAAGCAGATATTTGCAGCAGAAAACCTCTAAGAACTCACTGTGCACTACCTGCTTAGTGCCAAACGAGACACAGATAAAGTTAGCAACTAGCTAATGAACACAGCGGAGAATTTAACAACTAAAGAGCCAGATAATGTTGGACTAACATTCAAGATGTGGACACAAACATGAATGCTGATGTGTTCAGTGTCTGTGGGATGTATAAACAGGCTGCTGTTTGCTCACAAGTTGGCCAAATCAACTTTAAAAGGTGACACTGCTGGGTTTGCAGCTTGTGTTTTGCTCCCAAGTGGCCAAAAAAATCAGTTCTTGCTAATTTAAGATATAAAAAGGATCACTTTTAAGCTTAGGGTTAATAAAATAACATGAAAGTAGAGTTTCAATCAGATACATTTTGAGGTAATGATTTTATATTGTAAATAGTAATAAATTATATTATAAATAGTGGACTGTGCTATTTTGAACTGATTTATGATTTGCCCTCATCAGCATCATAGATTGATGTGAAAATTATTTCATCCAGCCTGTGCCAAAAGGCAGCTTAAGACCTCTTTATCAGAGTCATTCAAGCAAAGCGTCAATAAAACACTGCAATTAGGCTTGCTCTTTTAAAATCTGAGATGGTCTAATTGACTGTGTGTATTCAAGTAGAACATCAGAATTCCCTCCAGCAAGTTTAATAACACTGATAAGCATAATGCATAATCATAAGCTTGATGCTCTGACAACATGGCATCTTTAAGACTTGGGTTATGCTTGTTGCAGGCCTTTTGTGTGCAGTTTTCATTTGTTTTCCTCAAGTGTCTTTTTGAAACTGATAATGTTGAAAAGGAGTTTCATAATATCTTTATAATGCTCTCGCCACTTGGTTGTGGAGGGCTTGCAGTGAGGAGCTGGGGATAATAGTGTGGTGCAGCACATCAAACAGAGCCTGGTCAAAAAGCAAAACACTTGATATCTCATAGGAGTGAATTTAATGGCCACTGGTTGCTCCTGGCTCTTGACCCTCTCCAAGAGGCCGCATGTTAGTCACTCTCCAGTGCTTTCCAATTGAAACCCAGCCAGACTGGTGGTAGATGAGATTTCAACGGTCTACTCAAAGCCTGGATGACTGTACCACTAGCTTCAGCTGGTCATTAGACTGGCGATGCTCAGTTGAGAAGAGAGGGAAAGTGGACATTCCGGTAAGTTGGAGATTTGCAGCAATTTTCAAGCTCAGGGTTCTCTCACACTTGATGCTGTGTACACAATAATACAGCAATAAAAAAGAAAATCCAATACTCTGCTATAACACTGAGGCTAATTTGTTACCTAAGGAGTAATTTTATGGTGTGGGTTATAACCAAGCCACCAAACTAATCCGAGAACCAACCACACATAAGTGAAGGCCAGGACATAGTCAGGCTTTTTAATGCCTGGGACCCATCTGACTCCACCTGAATCCAGCCAACCAGACTAATTTAATATGGATTTATATACAAGGTGTCTTGTTTAACATAATGAATATCTAATCAAGCATGAGCACCGGAAAGCAATTTCTGCAAAGTAATTGAAAGCAGACTTTGTTTATATGACAGAATATTGTTACACTTTTGGCACAGGCTCGCCCAGAGCTCTAACTCGACATTAAATCTCTTTTCCCAAGCATCATTTTGTAATAAATGGGGGAAGTCTCTTTATTAGCCTATCAACAGTTCTGACTTCTAAGGATTGTTTGTTGTACAACAGCACAAAATTGGTCCTTTTAACTTCAAAAGATGCTAGAATTTATCAAACAAATTTAACATTTCTTGTCATACTGATAACATGCTTACAGAGTAGTGCAGTATGAAGGACTCCTCACAGCTGTAAGACATCCTGTGCCTTTCAACTGAATTGTTAGTCATGATTTATTTTACTGCTGTCCTGTGCTGCCTTCTAGTGTTCAGAAATTAACCTTGGCAGTAATTGCTTGGAGTATTATTGTACCGTCACATTTGCATTGTAATCGCACACACACAGCAAATGGAATTTTATTCCAGTGTTAGAGAGCTCAGTTTCAGTGGCAGAAGTGAACTGTTGCATGTATAAAGAAATTCAAAAAGAATTGCATTATGCAAGCTCATTATAATTCACCACTCAAGAAGAAATGGCATGTAGTAGACAAATTTATTGTGGCAGCTTCACAATGACTTGTGTCATGTAACATATTGCAGACACTCTCTTCAGCAGTGGGGCCACAGTAACTAAATATTTGTCACTGTCCTTAACCAAATAACACTTTCTTATTGGTTCAAATACAACAAAATATATCTTTGGTGACCCATGTGTATACACTTATGCATATATAAAAAGTATTGAAAATGTTTAAATATTACTAGGAGCTAAATATAAGAGTTCAGACTATTGCACAACAGCCAGGTGAGGACCAAGGGAGGTGATTGCTGGAGCAGCTGGTGGCTGCTTTTAGGGTTTTCTGCGCCTGTAAAAGAGAAGAGTTTAATACTCCAGAGGAAATGCTATTCTCAGATGTGATCTATAAAAGTGGCTGCTTACTTGGTGATTCCATGATGCTCATAGCCAGGACCCATGTTTGATCCAGCCCTCATCTCCATAGCCACAGAGCACTGTGAACAAAAGAAATATTGGGACCTAAATCTGAGGGGTTGGCACATTTACCTTTCACCATATGATTAATAGTGCATTAGCAACACCGCAGTGAAGATAAATACTTCAACACGCCAATGATTGAGTTTTCCTGTACGTTTTCCACCCCAGGTCACTTCACATAGCATTCTTATTTCACTCATAACATGTACAGAAATAAGACATTGCACAGACATGTTATAAGCCAAGACATGTTCAGTTTTTGTTGAAATTGTCACATTTGATTTTACTCTACAGTGATTTCAGTGTATTATATTTAGAGCTTAAATTCAACACAAGATTAATCAGCTATTTTGATAGTTGATTAATCTTTTACTTTTGTTACATGTCGTTTATTTACATTGTAATTTGAAAATATTTTATATTGGTCAGACAAAACATTTTGACATCAATTTTTATAGTCCAAACTGTTGGTTAATGGAGTAAATCAGCAAATAAATTTTGAAGCCTCCCAAGTATAGTAAATTAGAAAATATTTACCCAGTCAGTGTATTTTTCCTCAAGAACAAGAGATGTGTTCAGATGTGTTTAAGGCTGGCCACCTACCTTCCATACACATGCAAGGTTTATTACACAGTTGTTTATTGGAGATTAATCAATTTTCATCCTACCCTTGTCTCCACATCAGTCCAAGCACCATCTGTTTGATCTCCATGGGTAGGCGTGCCTTCTGAAGACTTTCTTTTACGCCTTCAAATGTAAAGTGACAAAAAGGAAAAAAGTTCATCATTATAATATCCGACGCTATCTGACGTTAATAACCAGCTGTAGGCCACTACCTTGGGACTGTGGTGAGCTCCTGTTTTAGTGTCTCGATGTCTGTGAACTGGACAGCCTGTCCCCCTCCTCTGGTTTTAATAACCTCGCCCTGAAAAATGAACATATGTAATAAATGAGGTAAAAGCCAACTTTAACCAGTACAAAATGCAAAAGTTCTGTTAAGATGTGGTGCTACTCATTTTGTTTTGACAAGACCGTTAGTTAGCAAGTGCAGCACATTGCAGTAGTGTCGAAAACCGAAGACATAGTTGTCTTTGGTGTTCGACACTACTGCAATGTCTAAAATCTATGGGGTATCTCAGAAAATTAGATTATTGTGAAAAGGTTCAATATTGAAGACACCTGGTGCTAATTTACTCAAAACACCTGCAAAGGCCTTTAAATGGTCTCTCAGTCTAGTTCTGGAGGCTACACAATCATGGGGAAGAGTGACTTGACAGCTGTCCACCTGCACACAGTGCCAAAGCTACCAGTACCTGGTTTAAGGACCACGGTATCCCTGTTCTTAATTGGCCAGCAAACTCGCCTGACCTTAACCCTATAGAAAATCTATGGGGTATTGTGAAAAGGAAGATGCGATATGCCAGACCCAACAATGCAGAAGAGCTGAAGGCCACAATCAGAGCAACCTGGGCTCTCATAACACCTGAGCAGTGCCACAGACTGATAGACTCCATGCAACGCCGCATTGCTGCAGTAATTCAGGCAAAAGGAGCCCCAACTAAGTATTGAGTGCTGTACATGTTCAGATACTAATTTTCAGAGATAACTAATGAAAATCCCAAATTCATTGTCAGTTTTAATCACAATTAAAGGAAATAAACATTTGAAATCAGTCTGTGTGTAATTAATGAATATAATATCCAAGTTTCACTTTTTGAATGGAATTACTGAAATTATTCAACTTTGATATTGTAATTATGACCAGCACCTGTATGTTTAGTTCCAACTTTCTTCTACAAGACCCATTGCCTCTAACCCCTTCCCACCAATCACTTACACAAAGAATCAGTATCTGTTTACCAAGACTTAAAATCAGGTGCCTGAAATGCCCCCCCTTTAACCAAAAAAGCAGCTTGGGAGCAAGATATAGGTTGCTCCTTCTCTGAGGACATAGGAGTATCACAATTTCAATATGAAAATATCAAATCATTCAATTCCAACCTTCAAAAGCAGGATCGTTGATTACACAACTAGAAAATCCTCCTGGTGTCTTTTATCAGGTGAGTAAAAATCAAGCTGCTGTTGTGAAGTACCGTTCTGCAGTTTGTTTCCCCATTGACTAGTAAAAAAAGTCACCATTTTCAATTGATGTTACTTTGGTTTGTAAAAGGCCAAGTATGCAAAAACATAAGATTCTGCTGCATATTCAAAAAATATTTAAGGCCAGACTTTGTGGGGACGTCATCCTGTCTCAGAACCATGTCGACAAGCATGGATGAGACTGCCGAAGCTATACAGATTGTTGTAAGTCACAGAAATAAACTCTTAAATTGACATAGACCTTTGCTCAAGGAACAAGGAAGATGGCGGGCCAAGCAGAGTGCAGTGAGGCAGGTGCTGCTCCTCCAAAGTCAAATGTCATTCTAAAATCACACCGACCTCAACAAAGAAATTTGCAATTTTGCGTTGTACTTCTGCGATCCGCGAGCAAATCTTAAGGGATTACTTGGAGGGCACATCGCAGTCTCACTGGGAAAAGTGAACAAATTCAACATCTTATTGCAGACTCAAATTTGGATTATCTGTGTCCATCAGAAACCTGCCTACATAAAAACTCTCCAAGTGCAGCACTAAGTGTCCCGGGTTACAATATCTATAGGAGGGACAGGCCCGAAGGACGAGGAGGAGGGTTAATGTTTTATGTCAGAGATAATATCTGCCATCAAATCCAGTGGCGATGTGATAATGGGCTTGAATGTATTGGTCTTATTACACAGTCTCCACAAATGTCTTTTACCCTTGTTGGTCTGTATAGACCACCCTCTTCAAAAATTGCTTTTTTTGAACAGCTAATAAATGCAACAGAGGTGCCCTTAAATGAATTACAAATACCTTTGATCTGATACAGTTAAGGGACCAACAAGAACAGCACTCAAAAACACAGACCTGCTATTTAGTAATAAACCAGAAAGAATTGTCAACACATTTATTATGATCACTGAGTTATCTGATCATAACTTAACCCTTGCAGTTAGGAAGTTATCCAAAAAGCGCCTTAGTTGTGGTGTTAAAAAAAACCCGGTCAGGCGACTCAGCGCAGAATACCTAAGGGAGAACATCATAATTTTGAAAATGCAATTAAAGGGATTACATGGAATAAAATTCTCTCATTCTGATGTTGACTCTGACTGTCAGATTTCTCTCCCCACAATTCAATGTATAATGAATACCTTTTTAAGGAAAACTAAACCTGGCTGCAGACAAAAAAAGCGCTCTTCCATGGTTAAGTGGTGATATACATAAATTGAGAGAACGTGATGCGGCACTGAAAGCCGCCCTAAAATCTAAATTAGTAACTGATAGATTTAAATTTGTGGGACTAAGAAATAAGGTAACGAGAGATTAGGAATGCAAAAGCTATATTTTTTTATTAATGTTATTGATCAAGCAAAAGGAAATACTAAATTGATTTGGGAGAACATAAAGAGGTTGACAGGTAAACATAATGGTAACGAAAAGCGCCTTAAAATCTGTGAATGGCAGTATTACACAGGATGAAGCTCAAATAGCAACTCTTAATTCATATTTTGTGGAATCAGTACGGACATTGATCCAGAATCCCTCCACCAATCTAATAAGCATTATGCCTATAAAATTATAATAAATGTGTTTGAGATTCAGGAAATTACTGAAATTAAAGTAAGAATGATTATAAATTCCCTTAAGAGTTCTAAAGCCAAAAGATGTATATGGACTGGACACAAATGCAATCAATAGATTCATTAATGAAGGGGTCTTTCCAAAAGCATGGAAGGCAGCTATAATAACACCAATTCACCAAGCAGGTGATCCATCAGAGGTTTGCAATTATAGACCAATTAGTATAGTGCCTACCGTGTCAAAGGTAATTGAAAAGGTATGTAGCAGAACAACTTACTAGCCGCCTTAACAGCACTTTCAGATTGCATCCTATGCAGTTTGGCTTTAGATCGAACTATTCAACGGAAACGGCAAACTGCTTTTTCCTTGAGAATGTGAGATCTAAACTAGATCATGCATGTGATTGGCAAAGGGCAAAAAAGCAGGAAAATATATAGACCCGCTGACACCCCGATTAAACTGGCAGCGGCAGGACCCATGACAATAACTTATTTGGTGGATGTGTTGCAGTGGGAATCAAAGACAAGTGTCTAATCCACTGCGCCATTGCAACCTCTCAACAGCTAAATGTGCAACATGAAATAATTGAGTCTATAACTAAATAATATAACTACTAACTTTCAAATTAGTTCAGTCGAAGTTAATAGATTCTTTTTAATGAATAAGAGACAGCAGCAAGGGTTGTCGCCTGTGTAAGACCTGGTGGCCTAACTGTTAAACAGTTATTATGAAACGGCCTTATATAAACCCTGTCACAACCATTCACAAGATTTTTTTTTTTTTTAAACTTGCCAAAACCTTTAACGTAAGGATGACTTAAAAAGCAACCATTCATACAGCAAAGTGTAGCCTATTGATCAATTGACAAAAAAAAGTCAAAGTAAACATTAAATAGCTTAACAAGCAATAATCAAAACATACCCAATTTATCCGACCGGCCGGAGTTTGAGTTTCCCCATTGCTGTGTTGCTTTAGCTGATGCTTCAGTTAGCCCAAGTATAAATGTAGAACTGTTCGCGGTTGACGGACGACAATGTTCTTTGCATCTTAGACTGTGACACAATAATGGCAATAATAATAACGTTAGCAGACTGTTAAATACCTCTCTCCCCCTCTTCTCCTGTCTTCCTTTAGCTTTTTGGCTAACAGCTTACTTTAACATCATAAGGTCCGGCACCGCTGAGCTGCAGCGCAGTCACGTCGGGGATGGTGCGTTCAGTAGCACAGCGTTACTTGGATTAGTAACTGTAATAGTATAAATGTTATAAATCCGGAAAAATCCCATCCCTGCTAGATAAAGGGGGAGTTGTTGGGGCCATATTCCCAGACCTAAAGAAAGCCTTTGACACTGTGGATCATGATGTCCTACTTGCAAAGCTCTCATTGTTTAACTTCTCCCCAAATGGTATTAAATGGATGCAATCATATCTTGAAGGCAGAGCACAGCAGGTCAAGGTAAATGATGAGGTGTCATCAGCCCTCAAGTGTGGTATTGGTGTACCTCAGGGATCAAATCTGGGGCCCTGTTTTGTTTAGCCTTTACATAAATGACCTACCCACTGTAAACCCTAGAAATGGTTGTGCGTGAAAATCCCAGTAACTGAGCAGATTGTGAAATACTCAGACCGGCCCGTCTGGCACCAACAACCATGCCACGCTCAAAATTGCTTAAATCATCTCTTTCCCATTCTGACATTCAGTTTGGAGTTCAGGAGATTGTCTTGACCAGGACCACACCCCTAAATGCATTGAAGCAACTGCCATGTGATTGGTTGATTAGATAATTGCATTAATGAGAAATTGAACAGGTGTTCCTAATAATCCTTTAGGTGAGAGTGAGTGAGTGTGTATGTGTGTTGTGATTTTATATATATATAAAAGCAGAAAACAACTGATAATAGACACTGTCTGTAGCAAGAGGAGACTGTATAATACCCATGAGGAGGACTGCCTTTGGACAGTCAGCTTTTTCCAGTGAGAGCAGCTTACACATGGAATAGTCTGCCAACTGTTATTAGAGATTGTGAAACATACTATTCATTTAAACTGAATTTAAATTCATGGTTAAAAGACAATCAAGTATGTGACTATAGTCTGAATTATTCAGAAATACCTGAAGAGTGCTTTGTTTTATGTTTTTTAAATTGTTGTCCTTGTTTTAAAGTATTTTACGTGTCTTTGTGAAAGGTATCTTGTTATATGTATAAGTACTGTTGTTCCTGTTTTAGTGTATTTTATATAGTTGTGATAACACCTGCCCAGGGACCACAGTCGAACATTAGCCAAGCTGGCTAAACTGGCACATTTACAGAAATATTTATCAATGTGCACTGTCTCTGTAAACTTAAACTCTAAATTTAAAAAAGAAAGAAAATAAATAAATGTGAAACCTGTGATAGCAGCTACCATTAACTGCTCGTAGCACCAGCTGTAGCAGCGTCCGCAGTGACTGAGATACCTTACACCAAGTAAAAACCCTCCCAAAAAGAAACCGACTGTAATGAAGTGAAACCAAACAGCAATTCATTCTGCTAAATCAGGGAAAACACATTTGCTATTTTAGATGCAGACATTTATGAGTTAAAAATTCTGTTGCAGCGTTCATTACCTTAATAAGTTTGGTCTGTACCTCGCCATCAGAGGCAACCTCCTGGTGTGTCAACACATATCTGTCACACTTCGACAGGGCCTTCTCAGTGGCTGCAGACACCTGGATGGAATTGGGGATCACGGGCTGCAAAACTGTACCCAAGTCCATGCTGGAGGACGGCTTGTGATCCACCCACTTCTCCCCGCCAGCTGAGCGGGAGCGACGGTGCAGCGGTCGCACTGGTGTCGTCGTCTACAGAGCGGGGAAAGCATTTGAAAAGAGGGGGGTGGGGGGAAACAGGAACATGCATAAATCTATGGCAAAGGATTACATAAAATTCTAACAAAGACATGAATGGGGATATCTTCGTCACTTGTAGGAACCCAAATTTGGGGAAGACAGAATCTTTCACTGTACAACTTCATGCTGCTGCCTGTAGCCAACTCACTGACCCTGTAGCTTCTCTCAATTAGGTCTAGATCAAATCTAGGACAGCTGGCCTCTTCTTGCTGTCTAGCACAACACAGAGCTCTCCTCCTGGCCCGGCTGGCTGAGGAACCTGATGCGGACTGGGATCTTGTGGGTGTACTAGGGGAATGCGTACTGTCCTGGGCCACCCGCTGCTCCCATGCAGAGATGTAATTAGCCACAGACAAAGAGCTACTGGTGCTGGGAACGGGGCATGCGGGCCTTGGGTTCATTTCAACCTCTTCAACTCTAGTGGCACTGACTGGCCCTGGCCTGACATGGGGAGAATCAACAGGGCACTGGGGAGCAAAGTGGAAAGACTGCACAATTACACTCATGCACGGTTAGATGTTAGTACAGAAGAGTCAAATGTTACAGTAGCTGGTTGACCAAAGAGCATTTCATAGGGAATGAGACAGCAGCAGACATCTGCACAGTCTCATGTAATCGCATACAACAGCCTTGCAATACATTCTTCTTTTGTGAGGATTGTTATATTTTGTGTGAAAGTGTCATTTTTGGAGCTGCAACAATTAGTCGATTAATCACTTAGTCAAACAGAAAATGTATCTGCAGGTTTAGGTTATTGTTCGAGCAAAAAAGCCAAATGTTTGATATTTTCAGCTTCTTAAAATGGTAGTTGTTGCTTTTCCTTGTCGAACTGTATATCATTTTTATATTTTGGGGTTTTGGACTTTGCAGACCGTTCATGTGGGTTACTATGGCCATTTTGACCGTTCGATGTTGTGTAGCCCCAATTACTCAAAATTGGTAGATAAAATAAAGGAAATAATTGTCAGCCTACTATATGTAAATGTGGTCACACAAAATACCTGAAACAATCAGCTAATCAACTTAAGTGAATTAGAAACAACTTATTAGGCAAAAAAGTAAATTAATTGCTCTTTTCAGCTTTAATTTAATGATTTTTTGCTTATTTGTTTTAGATCAAATTTAATATCTTCAGGTTAAGGACAAACATCTGAAGACAACACCTTGGACATTTTTCACCATTTTGATATTCTATATACTAAACATTCAAGTAATCGAATTCATAGACTAATAATAATAAATAAGAGACACTTAAAAGTTCCTGGACAATTAAATCAACACTTCTGTGAAATTATATCAAACTTAACATTTTAAGTTTCACAAAGGTAGTGAGCTGCTGCAGGACTAATGCACTGGACTACCTTATAATATACAGGAATTATTACTGCTGTCACACTGAGATTAGTAATATTAGTCAGGAAAGCTTTGAAAGAACAGAATTTGGTTAAACTGCCCCCGTCATGTCATCCAACAGTATTTAGTAACAGATACATTAATCAGGAGTTAGGGCAGGAACTTTAGATGTGCACTGTCAAAACATACAGGGACAGGTGAGGGCGAGGCTGATCTCTTTGCAGGGAGGCGTTCCTCTCTGGAAGGCCGCTTAGGCTGCGTCTGACGTGGTGGAGGATCAGGACGACCTGGAGTCTTGCTCTCAGTCACAATGGCCTTCAGCTGCTTCAGCTTCTCGTCTTTCACCCAGAGCTTGTTTTGCATCTCCAGCTGCATGGCATTAACGCGTCTGTCCTGCACAGCAAGAGGTATGATGTGTAAGTGCAGCACCACTGACTGTATAAATGATCATTGGGAAAGTTGAGACATTTAATAATTAAAAAAAAGGTAGTAAAACTACACAGAAGGCTACTTCATTTATAAAAATCTGTGTTATGAGGAGTAACTCACACATTCTTTCTCCCACTTGAACTGTGTGTCTGAGACCACGCCATGCATACGCTGCTCCAAGCGTCTCTTGTCAGACTGCTCCCTCTGCAGCCTCTGATCTCTGGTCTCCAGTTCCTGCTGCAGTGCACGTTTGTCATCCTCATAGATTTTAGTGGTTTTCTGCAGGATGTCAATCTGGAACAGAACCATGTGGGACATTTAAGAAACTGAGCAATACACCTACAAACCAGCGAACTCCAGGAGGTTTGCATGTTTTGGTCTCTCACTTTGTGTTCTTGCATCTTAATTCTCTTCTCCAAGCGTTCGATCTCTGCCTTGGAGCTCTGGATCATCTTGTCCTTCTCCGTGAGTTTGCCATTTTGTTCTTGAATAAAATGGTCATTAGAAATGAGGTTGTTGTCCAGTTCCTGAAGCTTGGACTTCATCACGTTGGCTAAAAAAAATTTAAAAAAAAATACACAAACATGGAGCGAGAGAACATGTGAGCCAACTTTTCAAGCAACCTGAACTGTAAAAGCCAAGAGGTGATGGATGAGCCAGATGGCGAGCAGTTACCTGCTTTGTTGTATTCTTCGATCATCATCTGTCTGATCCTGTGTCTATTCTGCAGAGCTTCGATCAGCCTGGGCAGGGTGATGTCATCATGAGGGTCAGTTACCACAGAGGAGGGTAGAGGTGGGAGGCTGTGCACCAGGTGGCTCATAACAGAGTGCACATCTAAGGAAACAAAAGATTGCTAAAATCTCTTTTCTGTGTTGATAAGTGTACAAAATATTCTACATATAAAAACAAAATATACACAGAGAATTTGTGGGAGCTGTCTTAATTTGAGGACCAATGTCATCACGTTTGATGTTTATAAAGGAGTAGTACATGACTGAATAATAAACGCAGCAGATAAATCAGCTAAATATTAAATAAGACACCACGAACTGAACCCACTGACTGCTGATTCTCTTGGAGATGGTACAATGAATGAAAAATGTCTAACATTAATAATATTCGTGTTGTGTAATCTCAAACAACCTTGTAATTTAGCAGATTTGGTGTATATACAGTGCATAACTAACCTCCATCTACTGGGCCGCCACGCCCCTCCAACTTGCGAGACAGTTCCTCTTGAAAAGCCTGGTTTCTATGGCGACGGCCCGGGGTGAAGCCACAGATGGGCCTGTCCACTGGCCGAGCCACTTCCACCTCCTGGGTCATCTCTGCAAACCGCATCACCAGCTAGACAAACAGAGCGTGTCTTGTGTGTCAAGTGAAAAGCAACTTGCACGTTCATTTAAAGTAATGGAGACAAGGTGAGCTTACCAATGTTTCCTCGTAGTCGTCGGCTTTAGGATTGACACAAACAACCATTCTGACTTTGCCCTCTCCATCAAAGTAGTTCTTGAACAGGTGAGTTACTTTAGAGTCTCTGTAGGGGACCATCTATAAACAGAAAACTTAGATTACTTACATGGCTCATCAGTAAATACGACTGTTCAGCTTCAGTCTGGCAACTCATACCCTGTTTGTGCCACACATCTGGTTTTCTCGAAGTATCTCGATGCATGTCCGCAGATTCAGCAAAGATTGATTGATGTTACCTGCAAGGTAAGAAAGTTTAATCTCACATGAACTTCAGCTGGCAATACAACCAAGTTTTGATGTTTTCATAACAAACCTGCTTCACGTATACGGGTGCCTTCTGCCCCGGTCCTGCCGGTGCGCTCACTTCCTGCTAAGTCCACCAGGCACAGCTGACTGACTGTCACCTGGCTTTTATCCTGACAAACATCAGAAATTACTTTAATATCAAAACTGCAGCTTATAATTCATTGAATATGAATTGCAGAGCTGCAAGTGTGGAATCAGACATTTGGTTTCAGTTTTAACGGACCTGGAGAATGTTGTTGCCATCTGCGTCAAGAGGGGCCTGGGCCAGTTTAATAATGAGCACACTGTGGGAGCGACTGGATTCTCTGTTCAGACGGGTGTTTGCAACCTTCCTCTTCTTCTGGCCTGGAACAACATGGTATAGGCAACTTTAACAATGTTCATTTTTACCATCTTCACATGCAATTACAACTACTCTTAGCTATTTAAAACTCCAACTGATCAATTTAACTCTTGCAAGACCTGCTCAGAGAGAAGATTAACGAAGGTCATTTCCTGGTCAGAGTCGACCCGGAGGCCAGCAATACCAGGTCAGTCACATCTACAATCATCAGTGCAGTATTAAATTTGACTCTGATTTGTAAATGTAGAAACAACTTACCTCTCCAGAACACTTGAAATGCCTCCTCTGCAGATTTAACTTCTACCTCCATACAACCAGCCACATACATGTTGTGATTCTGATCCTCCCTGAGGATTTTAGACTGAGGTGGTCTATGTTGGGAAACATAAGTGTTAGCCGCTGAAGACATGGAATTGCATTTATCATGAAAACATACATACATTTGGTTGGGGGAAATTAATGTTGCTTGACTCCAGCCACAGAAAATAAACTATGATGAAGTGCCACACAAAACAGCCAGCAGGTTTAAAGCCATTCAGGAGCTTTGCCATAAACAGACTACAAGCAGCAGCCGGGGTAATGTAATGATTTTCACAACTAAAAGAACACTCATCCACACTGGAGACATCACCTGGTGTAGCACACAATCAGCCTGTCAGTCCACATTTGAGTAGGGCTGACTCGCCTCCAGGCTAACCCCAAAATGGGCCGAGAGGTGGAGATGGGATTGGCTTTATTTTTCCAACCTGGAAGCTGCCGCTTAGGATTTACAATTTGAGAATTTTGGCCACATCCATTGATTGCTTTGAGAATTGATTAATTTGGCCATTATTTGATCTATAAAAAGGTCAGAGAGGAAAAAAAAAATAAAAAATCCCTGACGCCCTTGGTGGTATATTCAAATGGCTTGTTTTTTTTCTGAGCACTAATAGACTTGCTGGGACTCGAAAGTATTTCACGTTGACATTATGAATTTTCCCAGTATTTTAATAATTGAAAATCATGTAATTAGTTATTAAAATTGTTGCAGATTCTGTTTAGTGAATTTAGTGATTGTCTAAATTAACCATTTTAGCTTTGAACGTTACATAAGGAAATGTTTGTCAAAAACCTGTTTACGATAGTCACAGTAAGGTATCGAGTGGGACCACATTAGAAATAAGTCTTGTCACATGTTATCCCTTGGATTGGAGTTGTGTAGATTAAATAATTTTTTCATCAAATAGATAAGGGATTGTTTGGCATCTGCTCAAATGTTGATTTTATAACACTAGTATAAAAAAACATTAAAATTCAAAACAATATTCAGCCCTACTTTTGGGTCACTTCTTAAATTGTTTTAGATTGGATTTCTCACCACAAGAAGTTTCAACATTTGAAAATGTCTCCAGCATTGACGAGGTCCCATTTACAATCTAAGGGACTGCACGTTTGTGGGTTTGCCTTAATCAAGCTACTAGTCTGATGTACGAGTATTCCCTGATCACATACATGAACTCAGTGTTCTGGCGCACAGGTGTGCCTCCACCATTCCACCTAGTAAAGAGAAAAGACATAACTTTTTGTCTTCCAGCTACTCCAACATAAAAATCACCTCTAAAACCACTACACTTTAAATATGTGAATGTCTATGTAATGACTACCCTTAACAGTTTAAACATGCCTTTAAATGGACATTTATAGCTGAAGTCTATTCATTTCATATGTCCTGAACTGACTTTGGTTTGATTGCATCTTCTTGAGTTTCCTCCAGGAGATCATAGATGTAGTTGTTGTAGATTTCTATGTAGGAGACGAAGACGCTGTAGCTGCTGTCCTCATCCACATCATCTGTTTTATAAGCCTCCTCCAGCTTAATCATGTCTGCAATTTCCGGATCAAGCTTTTGTCTGAAATCAAAAGTAGTGACTTACGTATTTTGTTATTTTATTTATACGTACATACATACATACACTTACATTGTAGCAGAAGACAGGTGTTTCACAGGACTCGGACTTACCTGGAGGAGGATGTTTTAGGAACAGGCAAGTTGTTTTCCCGTCTTTGGCGCTCCAACAAAGCATCAACTTCACTCTGTACCTCCACACCATTTTTGTCATCTGTCTTGAAAACCTGAAGAGAAAAAAAAAAAAAAAAAAAAAAAAAAAAAGGAGGGGTGGGGGGGTTACGTTAGATAAATGTACAGACCTCACAAAGTATTACTAAATGTGGGTACAGGAAATGATAAATGCTAGTCTTTTTACTCCCTTACATATCTTTTGGCCTGATAGGGTGCTATACTGTTGAAGATCATATCAAGTGAGCGAGGTAGTAGTCCGCCCTGGCCTGGAGAGCCCGTCATGGTGAACGTCTTTCCACTTCCTGTGACCCCGTACGTAAAGAGCAGACCTACAACAACCAGAAAGGAGAGAATCAACTGCCAGTAACCTCAAAGCTGAACAGCTCTTGGTCCCTGAGCATGTTAAAATGCTGGAAAGTTCAGTGGGAGAAAAATACAACAGAATTATTGGTATTAAAGGTAGAGAGCTGCTGGCTGGCACCTGGCTATAGTTTACTTGTTTTTATAAAAAAAAAATTAAAAAAAAGAGAGAGAAGGTCTTTTTGGAGCTGGCCAATGTCCTTACCGTTTTTTCCGTGGATGAGGTCATCCACAAGAGGTTTGGCAACATCCTCAAACAGCTCCATCTGAGATATTGAAACTCTGAAGACTTTTTTGAAGGAATACTGAGTCTGAGAAGCAAAAGAGATGTGGAATATTTAGGGGGAAAACATTTAGAAAATATTCAGACTCCTTCGCTCTTCACATTGTTTTGTTGCAGCCATATGCCAAAATCATTTAAATTCATTTCACCTCTCAATCTATAGTTATTACCCCATAATGACAAAGTGAAAACAGGATTTTTTAAACAAAATGACATTGACAAGTATTCAGACCCTTAACTCTGTACGGTATTGCGCAGGTTATAAGCGGTGCATTGTTTCCTCCAGATGCTTTGAATTGAGGCCAAATATTTCAACCGTGGCCCTTCTCCCTGATTGCTCAGTTTGGCCAGGCAGCCAGCTCTAGGAAGAGTCCTGGTTGTGCCAAACATCATCCATTGAAGAATTATACAGGTCACTGTGCTCCTGAGAACCTTCAATGCAGCAGAATTTTTTGTAGCCTTCACTAGATCTGTGCCTTGACACAAGCCTGTCTCTGAGCTCTGCTGGCAGTCCCTTTGACATCATTTTTGTGCTCTGATATGCACAGTCAAGGGTGAGACCATTCCCTGATCATGTCTAATCAAGTGAATTTACCACAGCTGGACTTCTATCCAGGTGAAGAAACGTCTCCAAGATGATCAAGAGAAATGGGAGGCACCTGAACTCAATTTCAAGGGTCATAGCAAAGGGTCTTAATACTTTTAAAAACATTTGCAAATATTTCTAAAATCCTTTTTTTTGGCTTTGTGAGATATGAGATATTTAATGTAGATTGAGTAGAAAATGAATTTAAAAAAGTGAAGGGGTCTGAATAATGACTACAACTAATAAAGAAAAGAAACAAAGACTAACAGTTGGATACGCCTGCCTCCACAGGGAGGCATGCAACAGGCATTCTTATAGGATGCCCAAACCACTTCAAATGGCTAATTTCAATGCAAAAGGAGAAGCAGCTCTACTCATAGCTCCTTCTGAATGTCGGAATTCCATGTTGGACGGATTAATACAACCCATCTGCCTTGGGAAAATCTATATATCCCCCAAGTAGCAGAATTTCAGCTTATCGTGGTAACTTTGGGGTTAACCCTAGGTGTTCAGTACCATAACGGAGGTTCACTTCTTACTGGGGTAGATCGCCATGGTAACTACGTCGGGAGTTGTATGTAGAGGACTATATAGTGAGCTCACTTGCATTATTAAAACAACTTTCAGATACTACTCTGGTCATTATTTCAGTGCTGTCGGACAATCAGTTGGTGGTCCTATTAGGGCAATGCATGATGGTATGTAGGGCTTGGTTAGTGACCATCGGTTGTACACTACTTTTCAAAATGCATTCTAGGATACATTGAATGAACTATATAGGATATAATAATTATCACTATACATTCGGACAACCCTATAAAATGGCAAGCTCACTATATAGTCCTGTATATAGAGAGTAGTAGGTGATTTCGGACACAGCCTCAGTCTTTCGACCACTATTTGAGCACTTTTAGTGGTATGAATGGATTTTTTTGCTTTGTTGCTTTATAAAGTTAATTTAGAACAATGTTTGGAACAATTGAGTGTTTTAAATAAAGGAATCAGGTTTTTGAAGTGACTTGTCCATGTTTGCGATTGGTCAGCTGCTGCCAACACCGCCCATTTGAACATGCTCATGGCTAGATTGGGAAACCCTAGGTTGACTTACTGAGTTGATAACCAGCTTTTTTTGACAGCCTATCGCAATTGTTAGGGTTAGTGAAGGCAGATAATGAAAAAGCTATCCTGGCTATACAGGCTATTGTTTTTAGTAAGTTGTAATTTGGTATACTACTGTGTATTTATGTCAGCACAACAGTGTAAGTGGAATTTACTCAAAATAAACATTCTCCATGTTCATCATAATTAAGGAGCATGTGCAATGTTGTGGCTCATTGCGTTTTCAGTAGTTTTTGAATAATAAAACTCTATAACTAAGCTGCTGTATATCAGGCTTTGGCTACACAAACAATACTTGTTAGGAGCAATTAGTTGGTTTTGGTCTTTTTAAGGAATTTGTTTTCCATACTGCTTAAAGTATGCGAACAAAGGGGGAAAACGCAAACTACTGCAGGTTAAATAGATTTGCTACCTCTTTGTACTCTCCATTGCGGTTTGTTTTGAAGCCTTCAGGGGCGTGCAGCTGGATGGTGGTGCTGCTGATCACCTCAATACAGCACTCCTCGTCCTCCACACCCAGAGGTCGTACACGGCAGTACACCTGAGAGAAAAATACATCTGTCACATTATGTCCACGACGAAGGATTTATTACTTTACCACATTTGATAGTTGTAACGTCTGGACACAAATCGATTGAAATAGTAATAAGCTTTACCCTAAAACTACAACTTTCCAAACATTAATTACATCCCACAAGTAGCTTAATGAACATCTCAGTGATACTCACCCCCACCGGGTCTTTCTGGTTGCTTGAAGGCTTTTTTGGAGGAGGCCTGCGGGGGGTTTTACCCTTCCTGAATAAATAAGTCACATTTCATTAGCACAGTACATAGTTATCCTTTCATTACAGTGAGCGCCAGTGCGTTAACAAAGCCACAGGCTAGACGGCTTATTAGCCCCCGGCTAATGGACGGCTAAGCTAACTTAGCTGTCCTTGTTTGAATAGCGCGGAATAACGTTATGCTACTTAAACTTTACCACGACATTTAGGTGGATTAGCACAACACTTGTAAGCAACGTGGTGTGAAATAATAATTAAAATCTACTTACGCTTGTCTGATCATTGTATCTCGCTGCTTCCTGTAGTCTTACTGGTCCTGTTGGTGCAATTTTGAACTTTCCCTCCGCCTGAAACCAGAGGACTTTTTTCGAAACGAGCCGGCAGCAGCCAATAAGATTTCAGAGCAGCCAAACACGTGTTTCCGCCTTCACTTCCGAGCATCTGATGGACAGAACAAACGAAATGTTTCCTTTCGCTAATGCGAATTAGAAACCAAACAAAAACAAACAGCAACAAGAATTTTCACGGTATAGGAGCTATGTTTTTCAGATTTAGGTTTTAACCATTTCAAAAAATCTATTATATAGAGGACAGATTATAAATAAAAATGGCTAAAGACTACTTTTGTGGAAGCTAATGGGATTCCAAATAAAGAAAAAAATAAAATACAGAGGCTACAGGTGCTTGGATGAATGTCCTTTATTAATCCAATTGGGAATTTGTTGTGTTGGAGCAGCCAAAGTCACACTTAGGAATCACAGAAACAAACATAAGGACACTGAAAGACAAATATAAGAAAAATAAAAATAAAAAGCATCTATAACTTACGTCCTAACTACAAACTCAACTAAGACAAAAACTAAAAACTAGGACCATATAATTCAAAATATATAGGCCTACAATAATAAAGGCTGACAAGCAGTAATTTTATTTAAAATATAAATTGCATGTAATACTTAAAAGATAGATAATAAAGAAGAAATCCGAGCTACTATTAATCTCACCCTTTTTATATAGGGTCTATGATCTCACCAACATAACAATCTTCTTCTTCTACTATTATTTATTGTAGTAGTATTTACAAAATTTAAAGAAAAAGTATTAAGCATTTTGTCTCTTTTTATACTCCATTTTAATTATTTAACTAATTGTATTATTTATTAACGTAATCAGATATATGTTTGATTCTGCGTCCATGTGCTGTGGTCATTCATTAATAAAGCCTTAAACTGAAAGCTGATCTGACGTCAGTTTGTAGTCCTATCTAAACACCAAACATGGCGTCCACTGAGGGCTGATGGTGGAGAAAGACTGACACCTACTGTCCACCAGCTGTTGCACACACAAGTTACAAAACAGTACGTTTGCAGCCATTTACAGGCTCACGTGTACTGCTGCTTCGTTATGCAAACGCTGGAGTTCCTGCTAGTAAACTGCAACGCTAAACGCTCAACATCTCAGGTGAGCAGTTTGTATTGATTTTATTAACGCAGCTAAATGATAAAGTGTCGAGTCAAATCCCCCGTGTTGAGTGAGTTAATAAGTCGTCGTTTATTGTTATTTTAGAGGGAGAAATGAAGGGCAGACGGACAAAGTCAGATGCATCCGAATCAAAGGGGAAAGTGAAGAAAAGAATCGGGGAGACCTCTGCTCCGACTCAATCCAAAAGACTGCGTGAGAAAAAAGATGGAGAGACATCTGAACAAGGTGAGCAGCCCGGTGACAGGACAGCTTCAGCGCGGTGACACTGGACGTGAAATGTTCTTGTCGTAATTTAATTTGGTTTGTGTGTCCAGCAGCAGGGCCTCCGCTCAAGTCTGCAGGGGTCCAGAAGAGTGGGTGTGGAAGCATCCTGCACTACATTTACAAGAGCACTCTGGGGCAAAGTCTTCACTCACAGATGAGACAGGTGAGACTGCTGGTCGCGGGACCAAATACAAAAGTCAAAGTGTGCATCGAATTACCGGTGCCATAGCTTGATGTGTATGTAAGGACGGATTACTATTCAGTGACTGTACGTCATCAGTGCAAGTGTGCATGCAGTGGTGGAAAATAGCTACGGTACATTTACTCAAGTAGCCTACTGTACTTAAGTACAGTTTTGAGGTACATGCACTGTAATTGAGTAATTTCATGTTAGTTATTCTTCTACTTCACTACATTTCAGAGGGAAATATATTTTCTACTCCAAAGGCATTTTTTGACACTAGTTAATGAAAGGGTAAAAAATTGTATCCTCATGCATCATTTAAAATGCTCTTAAAAATATTCATTAGTGGTACAGACAGAATAATGTAGTAGTCTTACTATAGATTATTTAAGTACATTTAGGTGATCATACTTCTGTACTTTAACTTAAGTGACATTTTGAATTCAGGACTTCTAATTGTATGTTTAGTATTTTTAGACTATAGTATTTCTACTTTTACTTAAGTAAAGAATCTTAGTACTTCCACCAATAACACTTCATCCCTTGTCTAGTGTAGACGAATTACAAAGTAGCTGAAAAGGTGACTTCTTAAGAAAGGTCCTAGTGATTTAAAATTGTACTTATAAAACCATAATCAGTAGCTAGTAACATGTAGCACAGTAAAAAGTACAATGGAATGTGCATCATTTTCTGTTATGTAGGGATGTGTATTCATGGCCAGATTAACTTGCAAGGGTGCAAGAAAATTTATTAATAATCCTGTTCCTATAGCAGAGTCTAAATTTTTGCTGCAATAAAAAATATATTAAACAACATGTAAACACAAAGCTCAGAGAACTAGACACACACCCTGAAAGTCAGAATGTCCGTTGTTAGTGTTTCAGTGTGTTATGTATTATTTATGCCATATGCTGCTGCACAACAAATTGCCCCCCGGGGAAAATTAAGACTCCTTGAACCTTGAACCTAAATTGTACATATTCCCAAAACTAAATTGGCACAACCCAGTTTACAAACAGCAAGCCCAGAGCTTTCTGTGGCTCCAGTGCTGTTCCCCGCTCCCCTGACTTACATACAGTATGTTCTATTTCCTTTTGCATTCATTTGAATTAGAGTCAAAGCCACTGTACATAGTTCCCACAATACAGAACAGATTGCCTTTTGTTAAGTCTTCAGTCAGACCATGTGTTTAGTGTATATTAGATCTCCATTACTTTGGAAATATGTCAGTTGTACATTTATCTCTGTTGTCTCTTTCAGTGTCTTCAGGAACCTTTTATCCGCTCACTGTCGTCGTACCATTTCCACAGTGCTACCAGCCCCTTCGACCGCAGGATCACCTGTCTGGAGTGGCATCCCACTCATCCCACCACTCTGGCTGTGGGGTCAAAAGGTGGTGACTTATATCTGTGGGACTTCAAGGTGCCTGCAAAGAAAACTTTTATTCAAGGGGTGAGATCCTGCGTGATGCTCTGTGTTATCTGTTTTTCCAGTTGCTGGAATGGCCACTGGTACGAAGAGTAAATTATATATTTTATTTTAAACATTACTTTAAAATTATTAACTATTTGAGGCCCATCACAGTTACATTTTAAGGGCTGTGATTTTAGAACCGTGCAAATTAGATTTACTTGACGACACACTGTTATTGGTTCTCTGCTTAGATGGGGGCTGGAGACTCAGTTACAGACATGAAGTTTAACCAGTTAAATCCCACTCAGCTGTTCACCTCGTCTATTGGGGGTACGACAGCACTTCGAGATTTCAGTGGAACAACTCTAACAGTGTTTGCCAGTACAGACACGCTGAAGTAAGACCAAGTGCCTTTGTTTTGTGTGAACTACAGATAGAGTAGTAGATTTCTGGCCTGATCATTCTAGCATCAGTCTTCTTATCAGGTGGCCCTGATTGGTTAATGCTAAAGATTTGTATGGCAGAATAGTGCTAATAACTGCCCTGTCATAGGCCCGCGTTTGTGTTTCTGTGCACAGAGCGGAGCGGGAGATTTTATCGGAGGGATGAAGTTTTGCCCAATGGACTTTTCCAAAGTCTACGTGGCTTCTGGTGAGGGCTCATTGACCATGCAGAGCTTTGAGGGCCACACACCCACCGTTCTGTCCAGAACTCAAGACTGTGGCCACGATCACCACAACGTTTGGTGAGAAATCTGCAAAGAAGACTGATGAGATGATGTGATCTTGTTTATGTTATTCTAAAGTATAACGTTTGTGGCAAGAAAAAAGGATAATTAATAATGAGACATACGAGGTAACTTTGAGTTTATGTGGAAGTTTTATGTGAAAACTTATTTAAGAATAGAGAATATTTAGAATATTTTTAAAATGTTTTTTCGTTAATCTAGATTTTGATAGATTTTCTCTAATAGCTCATTAATCTTTTGGAGCACTGTGGAATGTTTAGCTTCATCCCTGTTTAATTTCTTGTTATCCCATAAATTCACTTTAATATTTGTTTTCTTACAGTTATTGGTACTGCTGCGTAGATGTGTCAGTAAACCGACAGATGCTTGTGACAGGAGACAATGTGGGACAGCTCTCACTCTTGGGATTGGATGGCCAAAAGGTATGTGTCTGTTCCCAAATGGAAGACAATCATTTGAGCAAACAAACAAATAGCTTGTATTGTCTTTTGGCTACTAAAGAGAATTAGTGTTTCGCAAAAAAGCAAATATTTTAATAATTGTCATTGATTTGTTTCGGTGTTGTAGATTTTCAGTGACAAGTTGCACAAAGCCAAAGTGACCCATGCAGAGTTCAACCCCCGTTGTGATTGGTTGTTGGCAACAGCCTCAGTTGACCACACGGTGAAGCTTTGGGACCTGAGAAACATCAAAGACAAAAAGAGCTTCCTCCATGACATGCCGCACGAGAGAGCTGTCAACTCTGGTAAGAGAAAGTCTAGAAAGTTCTGCAGTTTTACAAATATTGTGACATTTGTGCAGTGTAAATGATGAAAAGTAAATGATGCATAAATGTAACTCCAAGATACATCTGGTAGTCTACCATCCACATTTCACATTAATATACAGTATCTCACAAAAGTGAGTACACCCCTCACATTTCTTTAAATATCTTTTTAAAATCTTTTCATGTGACAACACTGAATGCCCAATTTTGACATTTTCACTTAGGGGTGTATTCACTTTGTTGCCAGCGGTTTAGACATTAATGGCTGTGTGATGTATTATCTTGAGGGGACAGCAAATTTACACTGTTATACAAGCTGTACACTCGTGACTTTACATTTTAGCAAAGTGTCATTTCTTCAGTGTTGTCATATGAAAAGATATAATCAAATATTTACAAAAATGTGAGGGGCGTACTCACTTTTGTGAGATACTCTAGATAATAAATATAGTTGTGAAGTGGCAGTTAAAAGTGTCAGTTTGTTTAAGATGCAAGTGATTTCCGTCTTTCCGTTTAGCTGTTAGTTTTCTTAACATTTAAAAATATATGTTATGTTAGACTTCTGAATTAATAAAGACAAGAACCTGAAAAGAAGCTGTGATTTGACGGCTGTATTATACAGATCTTAAAGAAAGTCTAGATTATTTTGGTAAAGCTGGTGCTGTCCTCTCCTCACAGCCTTTTTCAACCCATTGGACTGCTCCAAGTTACTCACCACAGATCAGTATGACCAGATCCGGGTCTACTCGTCCTCTGATTGGTCAAAGCCTCAACATATAATCCAACATCCACACAGACAGTTTCAGCATCTCACACCCATCAAGGTTTGTTTCGCCTCTGCATGTAAATGTATTCTCCTGTAACTTCCCTAGACATTTCTCTTGAGGGATCACGACTTCACAACGTAACTGACACCAACATCATTTAATGATCGAAGCACATGCACAAAGCAAGACGCAGATATCATTATATATGACCAACATTTGAATCATAGGTTGTCTACCTTTTTTGCACTATTGATAATTTTTATACTGACAGTGTTGTTGTGGAGTGCAAGGCACAGTTAGACTGCTCCACTCTTATTTTTCAATGAAATTAGCAGCATTTCAGTTCAAGATGTCTCCGCAGTCAGGATTGTCGACTAAAGAAAAACATGAAATTTCATGGCAGGAATATAGGCAGTGAAATTACACGTTCTTGTGACCAAAACAAGTTTCGTCCTATTGGCATTCGAGTTTGAGAGATGTCTAAAAAAGTCCAAAGAGTGCTCTGGTCGTGGCTTGAGGGCAACAACCAAATGCATACTACTCTGTGCCATCAGTATCAGCTGGAGAAATAATATTAATATTCATGTACTTTGTAGATAATAATGGACCAAGTGGTATTTAAAGTGACATGCAAGGGAGGAGCAACATCTGGTCATTTGTGTGCGCGCGTGGTCAGTGTGGTAGGATGCAGTTTGTGACAACAGAGTACTGTTATTATTTCTCTGTAGGCCACATGGCACCCTGTCTATGACCTAATTGTGGTGGGCCGCTACCCCGATGACCGAGTTTGCCCCGGAGACCAGAGGACCATCGACATCTTTGATTCCAACACAGCAGAGCTTGTGTATCAGCTGCAAGACCCCACAGCTTCAGGGATCAAATCTGTACGTATGTTTTTAAAAAACACCAGAAAAAACTTTTTAAAGACAAGAAAAATTTACACACACACACATTTATTTATTTATTTACAGATCAACAAGTTCAACCCATTGGGTGACGTGATTGGATCTGGAATGGGTGAGTTCTTCATTGATACGTGTGTTACCTGATGACTTGATTCAAACTGAGCGGAGGGTGGAGTATAATCACTAAAGCCGCTTACTGTTCACTCACAGGCGTAACGGTGCTGATCTGGGACAGGAACGAGTCAATGATCAGTGATCGTTACAAAGAACAGGAGGAAACCTCGACCATTGTGGACCGCTTAAGAGGCCAGAGGAGGAGACAGCAGCCCTCCAGCAGGGACAGGAAAGGGCCTACTGCGGATACAAAGCTCAAAAAGAAACTGGCTTCTCTGGAACAATCAGAGACCAAAACTAAGACCAAGAGTGGGTGTACCAAACAAAAACAAGGCCAGATGAAGATGAAGTAATTGAATAGTAGAATAATAGTGAAAATCCATGTGTATATATTTCTTTGTTAACTGTCTGTTCAGGTATTATATGAATGTTTAAAAATGGTTTCAGGTATTCTTTTATAAACCAGTTTAAAACTGGACCTCTTGTATGTTCTCACAATGTTTTTCTACTGAACTATAATAAAATGATCATATTTGATACCTTGTTGAGTCATTTTACACATTTTTGACCACATGCATTATTATGAATACGCATTACAGGAATATTTAGGGCAAGTATTTATTGCATACACCTTCATCTCATACAGAACGGCAGTATGTGCATCATGCATAACTGAAGAGGTAACTTCCACGTAGTTCGTGGACGGTGACATTTGCCAGCTGGAGGAGCATTCCACCCCAGGCCTCCTGTTCTTCTTTTCTCTCCTGATGCAAGGCCTGGTAGGCAGAGTACACCATGCTCAGGACAAGACTCTCAAACTGAGCCTGAGTCAGCAGCCTCATCCTCTGACCCTCCAGCACAGTCACCATCTGCGTCATGGAGCTCAGACTTCTGGGGATGTTGTCATTGATTTGAGAGAGGAAAGCCCGCCCCTGCCTCATCGATGCCATCTCTTTGTCGAACAGGACGATGTTGTTGTCCTGGTCCAGCTCTACCCCGCCCAACAAGAACTGCATACAGGAGGGGGGGGGGGGGGGGGGGGGGGGCAGCCATTAGTTACGCTGCAAGTAAATCACGGCAAGATATTCATCTGAATGTAGGCTTATATTAACTCTCAACTGAAAGTACCTCAAACATCAGGTTTGCGTCAGAGACTGATGAGCCAGTTTTTTGAGAAGTTGGATTTCCGCCTGCAGCCACATCTAAAGTAGAAAGTAAAGCTTAACTGTGACATAACTGAAGTTAGTCACTGACTGAATACCTGTCATTGTTTCCTGCATATTGAACAGTGCATGCAGTATCATTATATAACAACCTAAAACTTTCTGTCCTCATCACAGTCCTGTTGGAAGATCTTCTGGTTTTACTTACCTTCCAGCACTCGCTCAAACCAAAGCCACAAAATGACCTGAAGGCAGATTTTAAGTTGTATTTTCATTTTCTTCCCTGGATTGTTCACTGACAGATAATACACCGCATCCTTCGCACCTCTACTCTGACTCGTCCGCTTCTGTGAAGCCAGGCAGGAGCAACTCAGCCTGAATACCTTGCATTTTTCCTCCTTGGAAAAAGGGACCAAAAGCCAGTTGGCTTTGATGTAGAGCAGACAGCAATATTTCTGAATCCTGGTTCTTCTTATCCACAGCATGCAGAACTGTGAGCTAGCAGGACTTCACAGGAGTTCACAGAGGCAACAACAACAAAAACAAAAACAACAAAAAAACAAAACAAACATCAATGACGTGAATATAAACAAACTAAGGCTGAGAATCCTTTTCAATTAACAAAAGTTAGTCCAATAAAGAAATAAGTTTTATGGCATTTTTGCAAAGTAGATAACTTGTTAAATACAACTATAAATAAATGTTAAATAAATAAAATCTAGTAAGTTTTCTCCTTTATAAATATTCCAGATTTAACAGACGTGACATTCGGTGGGTGAAGCTCTGAAAAGATGCCTTGCACTAATTCACTAGTAAGTTTTCTCCTTTATAAATATTCCAGATTTAACAGACGTGACATTCGGTGGGTGAAGCTCTGAAAAGATGCCTTGCACTAATTCACACAGGAAGACAATATGTAGACAATAAAGTCCTAGTATTTTTCTCACAGAAAAGGTGTCATTATCTTAATTTAAGCTTTTATGCAAGAATTCATAATTGGATGGATAAATGTAAAGAGCATATCTTTGGCTCAAGTTGTAATTTCCTTGTAATTTTCTCATGCATGTGCAGTTTGACGTCCGTCATAATTCTGTGGTTTTTCTGCTTTTATGAAGGAAGATGGACTATGATATACAGCCTCTTATGATGCCTAATTCTGTTACTATGTTGTGAACTATATGTAATAAAGTTGGGGTGGAAAATTAATGTTTCCCAGAGCCCTTTAGAGAGAAAATATGGCTCTGGTGTTTCCTGAACGTCAGCTGCAGCACCACAGATCAGCCACATGGGGGCAGTAGCACCGTTTGACACCAGTCGCTTCATAGACGAGCGATGAAAGCGTTTATTTACTTCCGGTGAAGAGTTCAGCTGCTTCTGAATGATAACGTAGTGGAGATAAAGGTAAACTACGCTTGTTTACTTGCTGTATTTCTGAAAGCGTTACCACTCCTTTGTCTCATTTACAGTCCAAGTTATAAGTCCACCTCCACGGTGTCGCTGTTTAATTTTCACTCGAGGGTCCGTTAGCCAGCTAGCTGCTGTGGGTGCTAACGCTAGCTGATCAAAACAGTACAGACCAGCGACCCAGCGTTAGTATAGCAAAGCCAGACAGTTATTGCCAACAAAAATATTATACATAAATATTATATAAATAAATAAAAAAATCTAAAATGAGATCTCCATTCTGTCTCAAAAGCATATCAGGCGCATACTTAGCTACACTAGCCTCATCTAACTAACCTGAGAAAGTGTTTCATCATTTAATTGAATTTAAATATAACTAACGTTAAGCTTTTGAGCAGCTGCCTCTGTGATTTTACACATTAAAACGTTTACAGTCCGTTGCCATTTTATTTTTTAAGATACGTCTAGTTAAAGCTAATGCAGTCTAATGTAATAATCCTGCAACAAATCCTGAGTTGATTCAAATTTATGGTGAATTTGAAGGCTGTACTTGTAGCTGTGTTGTTTAAAAAAAATTATATTGTGTTTTACTGATTTTTTAACATAAAAATATATAAAGTAATAAGTAAAATTAAGCCAAATCTTTTTTTCAGTCCTTTTTCCTCAACAAAAAAATATCTTAATGGAAAACTTAGAAATTTATTTTTCAACTGTAAAATGTCCAGTTCAGTACAATTTGTGATTTGGGAATTGTTAAACGTTTATCTCTATTTATGTGAAAAAAATTATTATTGGCCGATATATTGCTCCAATATGAGATCCGTATCCAACTGTAAAATGTCCAGTTCAGTACAATTTGTGATTTGGGAATTGTTAAACGTTTATCTCTATTTATGTGAAAAAAATTATTATTGGCCAATATATTGCTCCAATATGAGATCCGTATCAAACTCCAGCATCATTCAGGCTCCAAAAACACCTCTCTAGAGACGTTTCAACAACAACTGAACATTATAACTTTAATGAAGGCAGGATTTAGAAACTAGCAAGATGTATCTTGGCAAGATGTATCTTTTTAAGCAACGACTGAGTGTAAATGGATGTCATGCTGTTTGTTGACTTGGTCAGGTGAGCAGCAAAGATGGAGTCCAGCGAGGAGGGGGGCCTCAGTGTCGGGGGCTCTATGGGAGAGGAGAACTACTTCCTGGGTTACACCTTCACCGACCGCTCCCACTCCAGTCGGGTGGTGAAGAGTATCATGGACCTGTGTCTGGAGGACGGCCTGTTTGCTGATGTCACCATCACCGTGGACAGCAAAGAGTTTCACCTGCACCGGCTGGTGCTCTCGGCACAGAGCAGTTTCTTCCGCTCAATGTTCACCTCCAACCTCAAGGAGTCCCACAACCGCTCTATTGAGCTGAAGGATGTCAGTGCCACCGTGTTTCAGCTGCTGATTGACTACATCTATCACGGCACAATTAAACTGAAGGTGGAGGAGCTGCAGGACACATATGAGATGGCAGATATGTACCAGCTGACTGCACTATTTGAAGAATGCTCCCGCTTCCTCTCGCGGACAGTAGAGGTCAAGAACTGCCTGCAGGTGATTCACTGTTTTTCACAAACTGCAGTCTCTGCTTCTTGGTCATAATTGTGTATTATCAGTTTTATGATTACCTGTTCTTGCCCAGGTGATGTGGCTTGCAGACAGACACAGTGACCAGGAGTTGTATACTGCAGCCAAGCACTGTGCTAAAATCCACCTGACCCAGCTGCATCAGACTGAAGAATTTCTTAATCTGCCTCTCTGTCTTCTCTTGGACATCATCAAAGGTATTACTCATTGCTGTCTTATCACTATGTACCATAACGTCCGATTTTGTCAGTGTTTTTCAGTGCGTTTTTATATGTAAAAATTTGGTGGGGCACCAACCATTTCAAAAGAAAGGCCATTACAACTACAATTTAAACTAGGTGTTGTAAACATAGGCCAACACAGCGGGGGAGAGAGAGAGAGATAAATAGAGCTATTACACAAGATAACTTACACTAAGCCTGTCATAAACCTAAATTAAAAATGCATTAAGCCTACACAACCAAGCTCAGAACAAATGAGCCTACAGGACTATAGCAAGCTCAACACCACTAAAGGCCACAACTAAGTGCACTGACAACTTTTTAAGGTTACAGACCAACTCTATGAACCAACATTATTGTTATTATTCTTCATCTAATTATTATTATAACAACATTATGACAACAGATAAGCATGGACGGACTGACACTCGTCACCATGTATATTATCAGTCGATTAAGTCCAACAATATAGCTAAAGCACGGACCAGCACGTTGGTGGCTGTCCCGTGGTATTGCGAGCAAAAGTTTTTGGAAATGCATCTGAATATTCCTCTGTTCAGAGAGTCAGCTGACTCGTCGTAGTGCTGTTTCACATTTACCACAAAGTAATACAAGTTACCATCGGAGTGATCACGTATGTTTTCAAATAGCAGACATGGGCAGCAGCCTTCTTTGGTAACGTTGTAACGTTAACCGTTAGCCAATGTTTCCTTGAAAACCACTCTTAAGTTAAATCCGCTGTTGCTTTTAAGCAGTTTGACTGATGGCAATATACCCTGGGCTGGTGGGCACCAAGACACTTTAATTCCAGTTTCTCCTTCAAATTAAGGGTTTCAAACCTGTGCTAAAGTATCAAATACACTTAGTTATGTCTCATGTTAGCTGGCTTAAGTATAGCTAAAACAATCTTCCCTCGCTCTTCGCCGGACAGACAGATAGTTAGTCAACTCAACTTGTCATTTAATCTGTGTGATCTACATTGAATACAGAAAAACTCTGAGCATGCGCATTAATATTTTCCTACATACAATGGATATTGCATTGTGACCATAGACTGTATATAAAAAGATTTTGACAGAGGGGCTAGCCCCACATTCATGCTACAACAGCCTACAGACGCCAATCGGGAGAACATGGTCTGAAGCAGCAAGGCAGGGCAGGACCAATGAACATAAAATTAAATCCTAACATAAATCTAATGCAATTTAGGAACATGTTATGTTCATAGATAGTGAAATATAGCATAATAATAATTGTTGAAATGTTATTTTTATGAGCCAGGTTTAGGTGTGAAGAAGTTTTGGAGACTGATGAAGACTTAATATAGCATGGGTTATTGAGCCCGGCCAATGAGATACAGTGCCAGCATACAACATGTAAACACGTCAAATGCCAACACCAGATCTGAAGGAGAACATCTTGTGGTCCCTTTTATGTTTCTGTCTTCCGCCTAGTGCCTGTAGGTTTCTCTATTAGGTCACCTTTCACCTAGAACAACTATCTATCTGACGTGTAGACTCCAATGCTTCATCATATTGGAATCTCTCACTATCCATTAGTTTTATTCTAATCTGTGGAGCCAGTTAGTTCTTGTAAACATTCTTGTATGGCTCAACCTTGTAAGACTCCCAGAGAACACTGATATCTGCTAGCCTGACGTCTGAGCTACTGTCTCTAACTAATCAGTCTATTGTTGTCTTCCTGATGAGGACAAGTACGTGTGAGAAATACGTAAAGCTATAATGTCAAATACTCAGCTACATTAATCTACGCTAGACCTGTCTTACCTTTTAAAATGTAAATCCACTGTGCATTTACTTTGGTGGGTTACACATCTCAAACTGAGTTTTAGCTCAGACTGTAGTAAAATGGCTGGTTGAAATATATGAAAATAAAATATGAAATGAAAAACAGTATCTACAAAAAGTATGTTTGGGAAAATGGTTTGCCATTACATTACTTAATTGGTAATTATCAAAACAACTATTATAGTCCTATAATCTTGAATATACATTTTTTGGAGCATCCTGCTATCTGAATGGTTAAGGCAATTACCGCAATGTTCCCGGTTTGATTGTACACTTAGTAGATAATTTGTTAAATTTACAACTCTAAATAAATGTTAAATAAATAAAATATAGTCATTCACGACAAAATCCACCTTTTTCTCCTTTATTGATATTTAATACAATCATCTTTGCACATGTAAATATCACTTCATGACATATCATGCACGAACCTGGCACATTGCACATATTTG